GCAGTGTAATTCTAGGTGTTGAGGACAACCCCATCTCCTGGGGTCAGAGGTTTTACGATGCAGTTAGGGGTTGGTGTGCACCAACTGTTACGACACTGCATTCCTCCATGATTCACTCTGTTTGTCTCACAAAATGCTAGTGTGTCTTTTTCCCTTCCTGCCTGAAAAGAATGGGCAGGGACTAACGATTGCAATTACATTCTTTTTTAACTATAGCTGAATTGCATTGTGTGTTACGCTTCATCTACTAAGGAAGATGATCTAAATTTTTATTTGCATAGTACAGTGGCTACCATTCAGTAAAACTAAATTTAAATTTAAATGGAATTTGAAATTAAGGTGTTAAAGTGGATTGGGTGTCTATAGACTGACTTACTGAGCAAATGACACCAAGTTCTGTGTTGATTTCATAAATTTAATCAAACATTAAATTCTTTGCTTGAGGTGTGCAGATTGTAACAGCATCTGGGACACCGTGTTTGAATTGCATCCAACTGTGTTACATGAGGCTAAAGTTAGTGGTGATAGCGGATTTCATCTCAATGAGTTGTATAGGATTTTTATTGTATTCTATGACAGAACATTTGTTCTGTTATAGAAACAGGGGGACATGAATGGAATTGATCTGATAGGCAAATTTTTAGTTTGGATCTCTGCATTTACTTTTCGGAAAAAGAGGTTATTGAAGTTAAATCAAAATACATTAAATGTTTTACGGTGTATTACCAGCATTAAAGATGAGCTAACTATTTGGATATGAAATAAGTAAAATGTATAAATTGAATATACTAAACAAAATATTGACTATCAAATAATTTACATAAAATAGTGTTCTTAAACTAAGGAAGGTGATCATTGGATTGTTGTATCTCTATTCATATGTTTTAAAATAAGTTGTTTAACTAAGACATCCAGGAAGGTCTAAACTAAAGATTTACATCATTTAATAAATTTAGCTGTATTGAATCTCTCTCCAAAACTGAAAAGGCATTGATAATTGATAAACAATATAAAAAGGGTAATACATTATTCAATTAAATATTTTATAAATAGGTTTTCAAATGAATAAATGGATCAAAGGTAAAAATGGTTGAAATTTTTGGGATTTAAAATATGATTGGAATAAAGTAGGTCATTTTTGATATTTAGTGACTCATGTAAAGCAGGCTGATCATTCTTTAAGGCTTTAAAAAATAGAAAATATGATGATTGAAATTAAATTGGTCTAAATTGGAAATTTACAAATTAACAGTTATGGAACTGCTTCTAAAATACAGTTAAGTTTTGGGTTTAACATGATAGGAAACTTTCATTTCTCATGTAGGCCTTATATAAAAAGAGGGTCAAAGGATTGATAAAATACAACTCCAAAGTAGCAGATTTATAATACAAAAGGAAGACAGTGAAGCTGTCATAAAGTGTAGGATCAATCATTAACCAATCAACAGGGTTCTCTCCATATGAGCTCCAGACAGGACGGATGTTTCCAGGACCTGCTACCCGCATTCCAGGATGGAAAGGTAAGCTTGCACATTTATCTCATAAAGATTTCTTCAATGAGTTACAGGTCCTGGCAGCAGAATTTACAAAATACCAGACGTCACAGGAACGTCCAGGCTCGGGATCAGTTCGGGGAATCGACTGGGTGCGCCTGATGGTCATCAAAAGAAAGTGGTCTGAACCTCGCTTCGCCAGACCATACCGAGTCGTGGAGAGTACATCTCAGGCTGTCCGTCTACAAGAGAGAAGGAGACACGTGGTTCCATTGGAGTCAGCTGAGGAGCCACAACGCACGCTGCAGGGCATACAGGAGAATCTACAGTCTCAACCTGCGGTCGAGGAGTGTCTGAGGGCCATCACAGCGCGGAGGAGGATCTGCATTTCCGGGCAGAAGTCTGCCAAAACCACTTCATTTTCCTGAATTACAAGGCTTAAAAGGCCCAGACAGGCACAATAATCCTGTTCCGGTGTCCTTCCATTGAGAAAAGGAGATTGCACCCTCTCCTTAAACTCACTGTTAAATTGGCATAATACTCCAATTTTCAGTGAGCAACGGACACTCAGGTGGAAAACCTGAGGTTTACAACCGAGGAGGAACACGTGAAGGATCCAGCTACAAGATCATCATTAACTTATCTTCTTTTTATTGCGTGTTTTCGTTTTTGCGAACTCTTCAAGAACATTCGTTTCTTTTTGCGCGTATTTTTGGATCGTTTCCTGACGAAGAATTCATATTCATTTTTGAAAGACTATCGAAGGAGCATAGAGACGAACTCTAACTTCTTATTATTGAATTGTGAAAAGAAAAAAAAAACTATTTTGTAACTATTTTGTAATTTTTATGTGTTTATGATGTATTTCTTGATGTTGTTATTGTTTTTTATTGACAAATTGTAGTTTTTGTGGTGAATATTGTCTTTTAAGTCTGCTGAGCATTTTTTAGTAATTTTGAGATATCTTACTTTTATTTTTTATTTTTTATTTCATATTCTGGGCTGATATTCCTATTGTGTGTTTGCTTCTCTTTCAGATAACTGAGTTTTATGATTTTTCATATTTGATAAGTGAAATGTATTTTTAGTTTAGTTTTTACTGGTTAAAATTTTGTGGTTCATCAGGTGAGTATTAAATTGTTGGACAGCGCAAGATACATTTGATAAGTTTAGATTATGGAGTTCAGCTTTAGACACATGGCCTGGCAGGGGACCTAGGAGGTGCTGTTTAAAAAAGGGGACTGTTATAAAATTGGGCTAATGTTTTAGTTTTTTAGTATACTAAATAATTTTTTGGTTCCTCTATTAGAAGGCTTAATCATTTTATTTGTGAGGTCTGTATGTCTCAGACCTCAAAACGGGGACTGTTAAAGAAAAATGATTATTTTTTAGACTTTATTACAGTTAATCTTATGGCATGTGTAAACACTCTCACTTGAACATATTTCTTAATTTTGAACAAGGCTGTGTTAATGATTTAAAACTACTAATGGGTAAGTATTCAAAGCACAGGAGGCCCCCCGCATTCCACAAGCTGTCTGTGAGAGCTTATCTTGTGTTTTATGACTTTAGGAATTCTAGATGCCAGGACAAGCTTTCCGCCTTTTCTTGTTAAAACAAAGAAGCAAATGACCCCAGATGTTTGCAGTAAATAAGGGGAAGCCCTAGCAGTGTCAGAGATGGCGTTTGGTTGGAGGACCGAGGGCCAGCCCCTTTTTGAATGGATTAGATACAAGAGGATAAAGCTTTCTAAATAGAAGAAAAAGATCAGATTTGCCCTTGCAACTCTCCAAAGATGTCTCTGTACTCTTTGCTTTCTTTCCTCCTATGTCAGGTAATGGAATGTATGTCTCTGTTGTTCTGCAGTTTCTGGTGTAGGTTTGTGCATTGTCTTATTTCTAAAGTGTATGCATTGTCTTATATTGGATTAAACTCTGTAATTCTGTGACGTCAACACGCAATGTTGGTTTTATTACCAAACGCAGCTCGCCGAGTGGACCTGGGGAAGGGAAGAATCAGAAGCCAATCTTTTTCCAAAGTTAACTATGTTAGAATATTTTCTTCCTTTACAATATATATATATATATATATATATATATATATATGCTTGAAATGTGGATAGTAATTTAAACTTTATTTCATGAAGTTAGTTTGTTGTTCTAAAATTGTTTTTTATTTTTGCAGTTTTTCTTGCACAAGCTAATATATAGTTAATATGAGGGATTGCTTTCGAGTCGATGCAATCAGGTGGTTTTCCTTAGATTAAAAACTTTGAACCAATCTGACTGTATGATCTGATTGAATTGTCTCTGTAAAGTGCATTGAGATGACATGTGTTGTGAATTAGCGCTGTATAAATAAAATGCATTGAATTGAAGTTCCTCTTCCCAATCCCTACAGCCTGGAGCTTTTAGGACAGCCAACCTTTTCTTACTGAAGGTTAGGCAGCGTTACCCATCCAGTCCATGCACCTCTCAGCATACACACAGCATGCCTGACTCCATGTGAGCCTTCAAAGTCCGGTTAGCTGCAGCTCAAAGTGGGAGGAAGCCACTCAGGGTCTAGATTTATTTGCTCAAAAACAAACAAAAACATTTACTTAGAGTCAAACTAATTGTTTCAAAGCTATAAATAAAAGCCTAATCAAACACACTTAATGCTACTACTTGTTGGGCCAGGGGCTATTTAGAGTTTGGCGACCTAAACACATTTTTCTCTTGTAAAGAAAGTGAAAACCAACAAATAGCTCAGAAAAACGCCTACTTTGGACTTAGATTTATACAACTTTTTCAACAAAATATTGTTTTGTACAGCTTTCAGACAGTAAATGAGCAAATGCAGAGTGTGGGAGAAAAAAGAAATGATGCAAAAACACATTTATATGGAAGTTCAAAGCATATGTGGGGCAAAAATGCAGTATTTTGGTTTGGTGTTATCAGTGTGGTTATTTAGACATATGATAACTTTTTATTAAACTCAGCTAACTAATTATCTTCTCAGGCAAACAAATGTAATTTTAGTTTGCCTAAGGGTGAGCAGTGAGCTTCTTTAGTTTTTACCATTGGTCTGAAAACCACCAGAAGTAATTAGTGAGTAAATAACTGGATGGATTAGACACGTAATACATGTAACAGTGATAATGCAATGATGTAAAGTTTACTTTAGATTACATATCTAAATACACAATGATGTTCAGTCTCTGCATATTAAAAGTCTGGAGCTACTGTCCCTGCATCGAACTATCTATGTAAGGCTTTTTATAGGTTTATTTATAGATTTAATTAACACTGGCTGAAAGTTGGTTTAGTAATAAAGCAACCGACTTCTACTATTAGTTTACTTGCAACTGTTTTCAATACAAATGAAAAACAATGTTATTCTAATATAATCTTAACCAAGTTGTCTTAAAGATGGGTGCTAATGTTATTTTGAATAACCAAAGGCCAGAGGAAACATAAAGTTTTAGAAGATTTATTGCTTTTTTAGAAAAGTGTAGAAATCATCAGTTATATATATATAAATAGTGAGTAATAAATATATTAGTTTTGGATAGATATATCAATATATCTATCCAAAACTGCAGTACTGTTCTGTTTAAAAACAATAGCACTTTAAATTAAAAAACATGTTGCCTTAATTTCTAATATTACACCACACCAGGATTCTTTTAAGAGATATATACAAATGTCCAAAGATGTAGAATAATGCCTTAGCACGGAAGACTCAGCAAAAAGCTGTTTTTTTCTCACAATTGCATTTTTCACATCCTTCTCCGCCCAACCAGTCTTCATTAAGCTCTCCCAGAATCTCCTGCAGGGACAGCACAGGAAGGGGTGTGTGCTGGACTGCTTTTGGATGCCCGGGTTCGCTGCTCTCCTCCAAAGACATCCAATTCCATGACTTCTCCAGCTGTGAGTGCTGACCTACATTTTGCGGGCTGCTTTCTGCACTAAAATCCCAATATCCAGAATCTGGTGTGTCTGGAGTTGACGACTGGGAGCTGGAGGAGGAGTTACTGTACATGTGCTGCTCTGGATACAAGACAGTCCCGTGGTTGGAGGCTGAGTTGTAGCTCATCATTTCTAAAGATTTGCACCACAAATGGGGAGCTGGAGAGGTCTGGGGGCCTACGTGGGGCCACATACCCCACATGGGTTGACTGGAGGTTCTGCTTAGTTGTTGAAGCCCAAACAAAGAGCTGTATTGTCCATGAATCTCAGAAGGAGAGTAAGCAGGAGGACACTGGCTGTAATATTCACCCTCTTCTACTTCCTGCTTCACGGGGGTTGGGTAGGCTGGTGGGGGCCCCGGAGGTCTCAGAGGGACTGTTGACCCATTGCTGCCAGCTGATGGAGGTGAAGGGAAAGCGTCATGGTGTGGACTGTTAGACTGCCACAGAGCCTTTTTTGCTCCTTTACATTTCAGGGTACGAGCTCTTCGGTTCTGGAACCACACCTGGACGGGAAATAAACAAAGAGTGTAGTTTAAATACAAAGCTGATTAGGCAATGCTTCAGTTAATCATTTGCTGGACAAACAGGTATCAGAGCAGGAGCTAGTACCTCCAATAGGAGCCTGGAAAAGAACAGACTGTGCTGCATTTGAAGATAAAGCAATAGAATTACGCATTGATGTGCAGAATCTGGAGTGTACGCCAGATGCATTTTAGAATACAGTTTTATAGTAAAAATAGTACAAGAAAAAGTAATTTCTATTATGAAAAACCCATTGGGATCTTTAGCTGTAGCCTGTTTTTTAAGTCACATAAATATGCTAAATATACAGTTTAGTTTATTTCTACTAATAAAACTTTAAATCTTTAATAGATTTGAGGCAAATTAGTTTGGTTTATGTTTTTTTTACAGGGAACAGGTGTTAAAACATTATATAAGAAGACAGCCGTTTTCCATCTGCAATCCCTGACCAGGTCACAACAATAAAATACATTCAATATGCATTGATATTGAATGTATCTAAGTTATTACAGTTATTTCCCGTATTATAATATTGATTCTATAATATTGTAAAAACACTTCACAGTACAATATTTTCTTTGTTTATCTTTTTAACTCACTTAACCTGTTATTTTTATACACTTTTTAAGGTCCACAGACATTTGTGTGAGCACTTTTGCTGCTGTAATACAACAATTTCCCCTTTGTGGGACAAAAAGGAGATTTTCATTTCTATTCTTTTCTATTTCTTGTATTATATATGTATATATACCATCTTAAAGCATTGAATTGTATATTTTGTGTATCTTTAGGTTCAGATGCTATAGTTTATTGCCTTCTTTTGCAGTGCAGTGCATTTTTTTTCATTTTAGGGACACATAAAGAATGATTATATTTTCTTCATTCATGATTTTCTATTTACCTGAATGCGTGACTCAGGTAAACCAGTGGTCTGGGAAAGGCTTTCTCTGAGGCTGATGCCGGGGTACGGGTCGGTCTCAAAGGTGGCACGCAAAAGCTCCACGTGTTCTTTGGAGAAGCTTGTCCGCTTTCTGCGGCTGGCGCTGCGGGAGGAGCTGCTGCTGGGGGCCACAGGCCTGCCATCATCTGTGTAAAGGAGAGAGAACCGAGTTTTATTATGGAAACATACTGAACTCTTATTCATGTTCATATTTTTAATATTAATCAAGCCTAAAATATCATGTTTCTATTGGGGTGTCGAACACATAACTTGGACACAAAGCAAATTCTACCACTTGAACATCCTTTTTCATTTCAAATTTTGCACAAAGTGATTATGAGCATTAAATAGTTACAACAGATTACATATGAAATTGGAATTTAACCACTTTAATATGCTTTTTATGAATAAAATAATACATTTGCTAATAAATGCAGAAGAGCTGTAACTTAAAATTACTCATCTCTTGCAATCTGTATATTTCTACTAAGTTTTTCTCAGCTGTTTCATCCAAATAGAATGTTTTTTTCAACAGAAATATGTAGATTCTTACATTGCATTAAAATCTGGATGAGGCAGTTGATTTTAGATTGAAAAGGAGCTAAATTACTGTATGCTCTTCGAATCTGTAGAAAATCAGCATTCTTACCATTGTTTGAGTCCTTCCACATAGCAGCAGTTGAAATGAAGTTGTTTCTGGATGCAGCTGCTGGGACTGAGGTCAGTTTGCCACACTGTCAGTGTCTGAGTCTGTCTGCCGTATCAGAACACCTTTTATATTGATCACCTGAGAATCCTGAAATGGCCCACCAAAGCCACACAATACTGTAGGGGGTGGGGTTGCATTTGTTTTTCTTTAAGAAATAATGCTTGACAGCAGTACTCTGACCCCAGAGCACCCCCCCCCCCCCCCCCCAACCCTCATCACCATTCAGTACACATCATTAGCCACTATACCTCAAATTCATCACAAGGTCAATAACAAATATGATACACTTCAGGCTGAAGATGGGCCAAGAAAAGTTCATTAGGGAGTCGTTAAGGCCAACTCATCGATACCGCTTTTCTAACTAGGGTTGTTGATGTCACATGACAAGGCACAATGACACATAAACCTTTATGCACAACTTTGAATGTCTTACTTTGCACATCTTCTTTTTAGTGCATAATACATGTCTATTGAATCTTATTAAATTTAATAAACATAATATTAGAAAAAAGAATGAAACCATGATTTTGTTATAATTTAGCAATGAGACCTAAAGCGACTAAACCATTATTAAGCCAAAGCAAAGGCAGATTTGTTAACGACTAAACATTAATCAGTTAGAGGCCAAGAAAGGCTTAGATCCCACACTTTTCTTAGTGCAAACTAGAGCTGTGAGCTGAAGCCAATCTCTGGCTTTCATATGCAGAGTAAGGCAGTGTGATTAGAGGGGTAAAAACAAAGGAAATCTCATACAATGACTAATAAGAAGCATTAAGAAGCTTACCTGTTAGCTCAAAGCAGGAATATTGCTGTTAGTGGGTGCATGTAAACCAGTTTTTGTTCTGCTTAAACATGTCCAGGCCCTGACCAGAGCTGTGGACCAGCATAGAGATACCCTTTGAACATTTGGCCATTTTGTCACATTACATCAGGGATTTAGATTTGAACCTTGACCCAAGTCCTAAAGGACCGGTATCCTATGGGATTGATATCTGAAAAATACAGAACACTGGTGCTTGAGGATTAACCACTACTTTAAGACTATCTTAAAATCAACTGTCTTGACTAAAATGTTTACAGTCCTACTCCTTCCTGTCTCCATACTCTTGATCTTGTGCTGACTTGAGTATGAATAACTTCCCTGTACTAACAACCTCTGTCATGTCTGTGTTCAATATCATGTGCAGCGTTATCGCTTTCATCCTGATGTTTTGCATGTAGACAACAACAGTTCTTGTTTTTGGTGCAATACAATCAGTGCACCTTTATGTACAAAAATATTTGTGAAGCACTGTATTCACACTACTGACCTACTCTCTCCTTAGAATGGGGGATTTCTGGGAAGCAGTTGCATTGAAATGTACTGATAATCTAAACACTAAAAGTCAATGATGTACAAAGTGCAGGGGCCGATTTACAATTTTGCAAGTACTGTATAGAAGAAGACAATGCAGTCTGGAGTTATCAGATGGGAACACAACAAGGACCACTGTTTTATCTTTTATCTGAAGAGAAGAGGAAAATCAATGTCTGTGTGTGGACACACCAGCTTTCTCTCTCTGTGCTTCACACAAATCCTATCATACAACCTCAGCATTTTTACAAACTGGTGGAAATCTTCCAATTTCTGTAAAAAACACCACTTTCAAATAATACATAATACTCAAAATGACAATAAAAGAAAATATTCCAGGTTGTGCAATCATTATCTGAAATATTTCTGAGAACTTTATGAAAAAAGGAAAAAGTCCACTATCTTTGATCCCTCCCATCAAATTACTTCTCATGTCCTACCTTTACATACAGTGATCGAGCGATTAAAGATAACCAGAAACCGTTGCAAATAACAACCTTTTCAGATAATGCAAAATACTATAAAGAATCACGCTTCATTCAGTCCTGTTTACACAAAGATATGTGCATGTTTTTGTTACAAAGCAAATATACATCTTATCCATTTCACTTCAAAGTATAATCTCTAGTAAAAAGTATCTTTTGTCAGTTGTTCTGAGTTTAAGTGAGGTCTTGAGGGCATTTTTATTTATTATTAGCAGCAGGAATAAAGGAGGAGCATCTATTTTGTTTTAATACAGGCATTTTAGAATAAATGGCAATTAAATGGGAAATATTTGGGACAATTCCAACAAATTTACCACAAAGACAAGACTATGAACTGGTCAGGAAAACTAAAAAACAAACAAGTCTTAGACTGTACAGGCCTCAATTAGTATGTTGAAAGTTAAAGTTTATGTTTTTTTGTACACTAAAATATTATTGAGTAAAATCTTTCAGAAACCAGTGGTACAACCAAACTGGATCATAAATGGGTCCATGATCCCAAACAAAGAATGGAATGTACGATGGAATGAATGAAATGCCAAAAAATCTAGGTATTGTAACGATCCAGTCAAAGTCTAAACCTTGTGCTCTGGTGTGACCTAAAGAGAACACTGCAGAAGCCAATATATGTAAACCATAAACTCCATCAATGTTGTTAAGAATAGGGGGTCAAATCTTTTCTCCAATGATGGGAGACGCCAGAGAACAATATTAAGAGAATTATTGCTGCTTGTGTGGTTCAGGGAGTAATTGGGAGCCTCTTTTAAGATTAAAAGCATACTCAAGTACATTTTTGTAGTCCAAGAAACACTATTCGTTGTCAAACATGATGGAGGCAGCACTATGATGCGGGTTCCCTGACTAAAAGCATGTATTCATCAAAACTTCTGAAGAAAACTGTATTCACACTTTAACCACTCTGCCAGTAAACTGCAGTAAAAGCATAGCCCAACAGATAAAGACACAATGGGGCACTATCTGTCATGGATTGGTGTCCCCAGTCAATGGACGTCAGCGTTATTGAAGTTTGAAATCCTTTCAACAAATGAAAACATTTTGAAATAAGGATTCAAATGAAAGATTCTGATAGGCAGTTGCCACAGCCGATTACAAGACAGAGAATCAGACCTAAGACTGGTCATGCAAAAGGAAAAGAATCATGTCAAATACTGCTTTTACTTTTGAAATTATACTTCTGTTTAACACATTATAAAGAAATATCCTAATAGATTTCCAACTCTCTAAGTAAAATGCAAATAAATTAGAGCTTTTTGGGGGGTATTTTTAGAACTGTACCTTTTATTTTTTTTACTTTTCCTATTATGATTATGGTTACTCAAAAAACAAAACAAAAATATTTTAAACCAGTTCACTTAATTTCACGATACTCCAATTAAAATCTGAAGTTTTGCACAAAAAGCAAAACTGTTCAATCCAAAGCTATCCAATTAGAGTTTGGACACCGATAACTCCTTTTAACAGAAAAGTGGCTACTGCCTAAGGGCCTAACACTTTGAGTTATTAGGCCTTGGCAGTAAAGAAACCCATGCTAACACAAATTCAGTGGTTATCTTCCACAATAAAAATTGTAAATATTTGTCTAATGAGATAAAGGGGAATGAAAGAAAAGGTGTGCAGTGAATTAGGCCCTGGATTGCATTAGGTAGTGCTATTTTAATAAAAAATAGCCTATAAGACAAACCTGAGACCTACTACTGTAGGGGAGTTTTAGAAAATGCATTATTTTATTTTGCTTGCTGTTTATATTTTAGCAATTACCAATATTTTGAGAATAAACTTCCATCATGTATTTCTCTACAGTTCCTTCCATAAAGAGGCTCTATATATTTTGCACATTTTCAGTGTATTTTATTGGAAATGTATGTGACACACAGAAATAAAATATAACTGTGAAGTCTGAAGAAAATTATATATTTCTCATTTGTATCAAGTCCCCCTTAAATAATATTTGAAAAGACCAAACTTGACCTAAGAATACAGTTGCAATAATTTTTAGACATTCTTTTTCTTAAAATGCCCTATAGTTCGTCAAACTGAATTGACCGACTGGATTGCTTCTCCACAGCATCGTGGTCCAATTCATAGTGATGAATGTGTGTTTTACCAGCGGAGGTTTTCCCACGTGTTGCTTTGTAGGTCAGAAAAATGAAAACATAATTACTATTACTATGTATTTGTTTATGGTTAGTCTCTATAAATATTTTCAACCAGAGATGGCAAAAGTACTCACTTTCCGTACTTGAGTAAAAGTACAGATACTTGTGTTAAAAAATACTCTGGTAAAAGTGGAAGTACTGATTAAACTTCTTTACTCAAGTAAAAGTAACAAAGTACAGGCTTGTAAATTTACTTAAAGTATAAAAGTACCGGTAAAAGTAGAAACCACTTTTTTCATGCCGTTGCCTACATTTTAAATGGATGTCTGCCAATAGGACTAGATCTCCGTTGTGTTCATTTTCAATCATCTCGTCGTCCATACTACTATGCTAACGCCACCGCCACCAAGCTGCAATGATTTGCCGCGAATGAATACCGCAGAATCTGTCGATTCATCTTGTAGCGGTGCGTCAAATGCAACGTAGATTCCCATCCAATTAGATTGAATTTGGTATTGATGACGTGAAAAATAATAACGGTAACTCCATTGAAATGATTCAAAACTAAAGTAACGAGCCAATTTTTTTAAAATGTAAGGAGTAGAAAGTACAGATATTTGTGTAAAAATGTAAGGAGTAGAAGTAAAAAGTCGCCATGAAAATAAGTAGTAAAGTAAAGTAAAAATATCAGAAAAATCTACTTGAGTACAGTAACGAAGTATTTGTACTTAGTTACTTCCCATCTCTGTTTTCAACTAATGCATTTTCCAAAAGCAAAAGCTTTTTTTTCTCCTATGTCTGCTTTTTTTTTTTTTTTACACAAAGTTGGACACTGTTTACTAAAAACGGCTTTCGAAATAATTACATAAGACAAAAATATGATTTATAGAAAGAAAGGAACGCCCCTATTGATTAGACGTGTGTGTGTTGTTTCCCTTCGGTCGTATTTGGCTGTGGCACCACCAAAGTGCAACAGCAATGGCTACCAGCGACGGAAGTGATTATTTTAAACGGACCAGTCTGTTTTGGGTCGTCACAATTACGGTGGCAGTTGGATACTTTTCTGTAAGTGATTTCAGTGTATCTGTATGACCATAACAAGGACACATTTTCACTGTTTTTCCAAAAAAAGAATCAAACTTCTATCAATTGTTTTTCTTGTCTGGGGTTTCATCAAATATCGTCCCCTGGGTCTCTTTTTACTTTTTCAGAAACCTGCTTCTTTCTGGTTACGTTTAATTTTCTTTTATGTCACCATTTAAGCATATCCTATTTAGGTAAAACAGTCGATGCAGCTATCGTGTTGATAGGAAATCTTATCAGTGTTAATGAAGTCCTCAGGTGGGTTAAACGGGCTTTGGGTTAAAGTTCAATTTTGAAGTGAGTTTTCCATTGACTGGAATCTGGAATCAAATAACTTTTCTAAGATCCATAACTATTTTTGTAGTATTTTCATTTAGATTTTACCAGTGCCAGTTTTTTTTATTTTTTTTTTTTAGAATTTCTTTTTTATAGTTATTCCATAAAGGTTATTACCATTATTTGTGATTTTTAAATACTATTTAAGTTTAAAAATCCAGTCTAAAACCCCCTAAAATTTGTTCTTGCTGACATTGGTTATAGCTGAGGAATAATATTTCCTAAAACTGAGTATTTCAGTCAAGGTTTGATTTCTTTAGATTTTCCTTTTTTTAAAAATTATTATAAAAAATAAATACTGCAGAATAGATTGAAAAATAAACCACCTGAAGTGTGATTCACATAAATGCTGTAAAATATACTTTCACTGTTTTTTGGCTACCTGGATGCAAACATAACCTAACATTCAGGTCTTTGTTCATAGAATAAGCTAATAAAACAAACAGATTTTCCCTAAAGCTCTAGAGATTTTAGAGAGGACATGGACTAAGTAAAGAAATTAAATAAACAAAAGACATAATTTACAGTTTAGCTGTTTAATCATTTTTTTATTGTGTTTTTTCCACATTCAGACTCTGGTTAGCTGTCTTAAAACTGCTTTATCCTTTTATCTTATCCATTCAAGGCGTTAGTTAACAGCAGGTCAGACCACAGGTGCGCAGACAAGGATCACAGAAGAATAAAGAAGTTTTCATTCTGAGTCATCTTTGAGCTTTTTTAGTTTGGTTTTTGCTGTGTTTTAAATGTCAGGGAATCGGATGTTTTTCAAGCAAACTAGTTCTGAAAATGATGCGGATCTAATTAACATTGGAGCAGTGGTGGTGAAATACATCCTCATTGGCTGTAAAATAAGAACGATAACCTTTTATTCATATCCTCCAGGCATATCCTGTTTATCCAACTTCATGTGACGCAAGTAGTGCATAATCGATGAATTAAAAACCAAACCAATTTTGTTTGGTTTGTTACAAAAAGCTGCCCTTTGTTGGTCAGAGGGGAACTGACGCAATGGCTCGTTTACTTTAGCTGTATTTGATTACTGATAACCTCCTGTACAACAGTCATAAATGTGACCCAGAAGAGAAATTTATTTAGGAGGAAATGACTCCTACTTTATATGTTTGGACTTTTTTTTCCAGCTTGTGTCAAGCTCTGTTAAGCTGAATGTCACGCTATGATCTATACTGAGGGCAGGCCTGCTGTGAATAATGCAGAAATATATTAGAGGAGAATGATGGAAAATGAAGAGGCTTTGAGAAAAGGAGGAACTAATCAGTTTTTTAATGTAACTTTATGACATAGGTTTATTCAGTTTTAATAATTTGAGAATGAAAAGAATGGCCAAAAATTTATGAGATGCTATCTGTGTTTCTGCCGTTTTCTTTTTAGTTCATTGTGTTTGCACCAGAAAAAATCCCATTCGATCACCTTGGCCCGTTCGGCAGCTTCTGCAGATACCTAGTGGATAACCATGCTGACCTAATGTACAAAGGGTAAGTGATTAGCTGCTGTTGCACCACCGCTGCTGTGCGGCGTCCAGGAGGACCCCTGCTAAGTGACAACTAACACTACAAAGTTAGTTGGTAAATGAAAGCATGCAGATTTGTTTCAAACTCCTCACCACCTGCTGTTACATGCTGACAGTAGATCAGTGACGTATAAAACAAGCTCATCAGCCCTATTCAGAAGAAAACGCAGCTGTTCGCACATAGTCAGATGAGTAGATCTTAATTATAATCCATGCCAGAACAGCTTTGAACGAGGTGCAAAGTACCGCATAGAGCCTGAATACTCTCTGTAATCAACAGCCGCCTTAGTGGTTTCTTAATTAGCCTTTAGAGTCACATGATTGCTGCAGCTCCTGCAGAAGTATGGGAGAAACTCAAGTCACCTGATCTGTAGGCCACCGGCTTCAGGTGGATAACTTTAGGGATTTCTCTTTTATTCTTTTGGAAAATACTTTGCATCTTTCTCTCAGATCAAATGTTTTTAAATTATTCTACCATCAAATCACTAAAACAATCTGATGGTTGCTTAGATCATTTAGGACTATTCTGCTATTGGTTCCAGTCTCTCTTTATCATCCAATTTTTAATTTTTTTTTTTTTTTTATATTCTACCCATGATTATTTTTATTTCTTGTTTGACTCGAAAAAATAATATCTACCTAGCATGTAAGAGTCAACTGGTCCACACAAGGGTCAGATCTTCACCATTTTATATTAATATTTACATATATGAGTATTATTTATATGAGCTTTCAGGGTCTTTGAGTATTTAACTCAACAATTGGATTAAAATACACAATCACTATGAAAAAGGCTAATGTTGAAGACTTTAAGTCCAATGCCACTGATTGCTTGGTTTATGGGTGCAAAAATAATGCAATTGAAATCCTAACCCTTGTTTAATCTGTCTTTAAAGATGTTTTTATATCGCTTATGTTTTTCACCCATGGTATTAACATTTAAATGGATCAGAGCTTAAATAAACACACACATGTTATGATAAATGGAATTTAAAGTTATGTTCTTCAAAAATACCTGTTTACCCACTCCTACAATGTTATTAATAGGAGGATGGTTGCCAGAAAAAGGCCTCAGAATAGTTTTCAATGGACTGATTTTCAGATTTTCTTCTTCACTCATGCTTTCGATCTTTAGCTCAGACAGCAGTTTGAAATCTTTTCAGGCTGAGCTCTTCCCTCAGAGGAACATCATTCAGAATCAAGTCTTTCTGTCATAATTATGTCTTTCTTAGACACTGACTCTGAATACCTATAAACATAAAAGACCCTCAGAGAAAAAGATGAAAAATAATCATCGTGGGAGGAGACTTCAAATGTAAATGGAGCAAATAGATCCCATTTGATTTTATTTAGAAAAACAAAACCTTTCACAGGAAGAAAGTGAACCATTGATTTTCATTTTGTCTTTCTGATGGTTCTTTTAAGGTAAATAAGCAATAAAGTGGGAAATGATTTTGTGAAACAACTTGAAGAGCCTCTTATTAAGATGGATTTTTGGTTAAGAACTGCAAATTAAAACAATTTTCCCCGGTTACCTTGAAAACTGATTATGTTCTATGAAAAACCTAAATAACACAGGTATGGTTTATTTACAATTATTAATGATAATATTAATAATATTTAATATTCTTTAATTATTTTATATAAGAGAGACCTTCAAATATTAGGCTCCTTGCTTTCAGATCTACTAGAAATGTTTTTACAGCTCTGTTTCCTGTTTCTCAGGTTGAAAGCATTAAAGTTGTGTTAAATCAGTAGTAGTAGAAGTAGGCCAGGGCAAAACGGAGACAGATGGAATCTATGAAAAACTAAAATAACCTGGAGCCGATCTCAAGACATTTGTTTGCAGAGATGACAAATCAAATTCAGTGATTTCTGTAGATAAAGCTCTCCCTGCCCTATGATCCTGGAACTACAACAGGAGGAGGATAAAATTTTTACAGGAAGAACATGGTTTCAGTGACATAACAAGAACCATTTCAAATTGGACTCTTAAGACCAGCAATGGGGTACCAACAGTTGCAGCTTTTCTTCCAAACAAAAATAAATAAATGCCTTAAATATACTCTTAGGAAAAAAGATTAGATCTCATCATGGTGCTAGAAATCTCTGTTTTTTAACTGGGGTGAGTAATAAAAAAAAAAGGATTCAGGTGTAATAAGCTAAATGAAAGGTTCAGAGAGAGAGAGAGAACTCAACAAATTTAAAGAATGTAAAGGAGAGCTTTTTGTCTGTTTCAGGTGGTGGGCAGCTTTTGCCATTCATGTTGGCGAAGGCGTCTATTCTTTAAAGGTTTGCAGGTAAGAATGGAGGAAGCTTTAATGTCCATTAGGTGGTGCTACAGTTTAAGCTAATCTTGGATGAGCTTATTTGACAGCATCTACATTTAAACAGTGATAGTTTACATCCATTTATAGTGAACATAAGTAAGATGAACAAATATTCTATGAGAGTTGGATGTGAGATTTTCTCCAGTTTGTATTTATCGCAATAGGATCAAACACTTTAAGGTTTCCTGTGGCCGAACAAAAAGTGGTTGATGTGCCACCTGCTAAGGAACAACTTCCTAAATATTAGACACAGAGAAACATCAAATCCATTCGGTCTATAAAATCAAACCCTTTCCTTAATTTATTCTTTGTAGTTTTAAGTCATTGATGCTTACTATTATATATTTAATCCAGTCTGAAAGAGGATTGGTGTATATTATGTCTATAAAGCCTAAAATAAAGGATGCTTCCATGATATATGGCATTGAAACCTCCTAGATTCAAGGAGAAGCTTTAGCTGCAGTCAAGCGAGCCAAATAAATGCATCCAAAGCCATTGTGGACAGAGCAGCACATCTACAAACCATCTCTAACTCTTCCTTCTTGGTCCTTCACAGCAACAAAGGGATCAGCAGCCCAACCACTCGCTTTCTGTGGTTCTTCCAGACCTTTCTGTTTGGCATCGCCTCCCTTGGCCTGCTCCTTAAGTACAACCCGAAGCGTCTCAAAAAGCACTAACCCCAGCAAGCGGTGCCTTCGGAGCAATACAGCTGAATCTTGACATTCATGGTGCCTTTTCTTAAGTTTGATGACCCTTTTATGTGCTTAAAACTCATAATACAGACGCTAAAAATGTAGTTGCTGACACTATTATTCCCTTTAATTCAGTGATGGGCCTGTTTTTAATTACATTCCATTTACCTTCTATGATGAAAGCTGGAGAAAAATTGTTAGAATTAGATTTTAAAGTTTCTTTTAATACATTTTATTGCTGACAGAAGCTGTTTGAATTATATCCTTGATGTAGATCTTATGTGTAAGACAACAGGAGTTGTGGATCAATTCTTCTTTGATCCAATGTTTACATTCAGCCTGCAAGGGGGAAGTAGGTGCTGTGTTTCTCAGTCATAACATCAGCAAAAGTCTGAGCAGGAAGAGGGATTATTTTCATATTTACCTCAGTCATACCAAGGTGTCTTCACTCAATGCTAAGAATACTTGAAGTCTTTAATAAAGAGACATTTCAAAGCTAATTTCTATTCCCTTCATGTTGTATATTGGGTTTTCTACTGATGTGTTGATGTATTGCAAACGTAAACACACCCTCTGGGAAATTCTGGAGTTTATGTATCTGGATTTATGAAGAAAGAACATAAGTCATATGTTTATATCATTTTTATGATCTAAATATCTGCAGATTTAGCCTAGAAAGTAAAAGGAAACCATAGCATCCACACAGTTTGTGCACAGCTTTCTAAAAGTCGCATCACATCCTCAACTATGATAATAACTGGACTTTCAGCTGGTTGATATATATTTTTTTTTAGTGTGGTGATGAAATGACAGAAAATCAAACAATCCACTTGGGTTTATTTGGATTTTCACCAGAACTTTATTTCCTCCTTTATCTGCTGCAACAATAGCAGCACAGGTTCACAGTATTCTCTGTTTAAAGACATTAAGAGCTTTAGCTCATCTTAAGCAGCCATGTCACCACTAGAGCTGTCTCAGGCCATTAAATCAGCGCTGGATGATGCTGATACAACTAACCCAACATTCTCTGTCAGTTTTACTCTTCAGTATTTAAACAAAAATGCATTTTGTTCTATCTTTCTAAGACCTGGACACAAATGTAATAAAATCAGACACAATTTGTTTTCCTTTATTTTGAGAGTTTCTCTCTTGGACAGTTCTACACTGGGATTATATAAATATACAAGTATGTACAGCATTTAGAAATATGTATACTTTTTTATTTGTTGCACTTGTAGGACTATACTTATACTAACCTGCAGCTATTTAAGAGTATAACTCCGACGAGAGCTAGATCCAGTCCAGTCCCCACAGAACAACTGTAGTAAATGTATTTTAGGTTAAGAACTGCTCTATAATCTCACAGCCCGACTGTGAGCAAGATTTTTATAAGGTTGGTTGATGTTAAGGATATGTTAGGAATCCATTCCAGGCTTTTCCACATTTCATGTTTTTTTTTTTTTTTGCCTTGTGGTTTGTGCTTGTAGTGTTTAGATCACCGGTCCAGCCAGCATATCGAAGGGTAGCGCTCATTCAGCGTCTTGCGCAGCTGAGCACTTTGTGTCTTATCCCTGGTTTCCACCACACATTCCACCTGTGAGCACAGCAGACACGTAATTTAGGGCAAGCAGTATGCATGGGCAACCAGTTTATCATCCATGACCTTTCACCTTTTGACAGCCAGTGGATAAACAAAACAATTACTCTGGGGTGCAGAGGCAACAATGATGATCCCAGAGGTTAAAAAGAGATGTTTTTAAAATTAGAATTAAGTAAGGCTGTTGGAGTCCTGGAAAATGACTTTATATTGATATTAATGTAAAAAGGAGAACCAAAATGCAATATTACTACTTTTAACCAGCTCCACTTGGCCTGGGTCTGCTCCACCCCATCAGTTTTCAGGAATAGGTATGATCCAAGAGTAAGAGGTTTAAACAAAGCCAGTGAAAGTACTGAAAAAGCTTTCATGTAAACATTTGAAATTTGGTGGGGTGGAGCAGAGCCAGACCAAGTTGGGCTGGTGGAAAAGGGACATTAGTTTCCATAATCTGTTAGATAATGTCTGGATCTTGGGAAGTTTGTAAACTTTCCACTACGTTTGTCCACATTTGAGCCGCGGTCAAAATGAGCGATCAAATTTGTAAATATGATTTAATGTCATGGTGGATGCTCATTGAGGTAAACTACTGCAGGAACGATTCTCTGTTTTTCAGTAGATTTTGCATTAATGATATACTTTATAAAAACATCAGTAAAGATCTATCGGTAATGAAAACATTAGATTTAATGGTTTTAGATTTGAAAAAAGTGAAACATAGGCTTTCTGAAAAAGTTTAATTGCCTCAGTGCAATAAATAAACGGGTCATCTGCATAAAAATGTATGTTAGCATCAGACATAATTTTTCAATTCCTTCAAATAAATTATAAAATAGAAGAGGACCTAATATCGATCTCTGTGGCACTCCCTTGAGGACTGCTAAAATAGTTTTGAAGCAAGCAACAGATGGCTCTGGAAAGTCGACGTTTCATTTTCCACAGTATCAAATGCTTCTCACAAACCTATAAAAAGAGGTGTACAATATTGTTTCTTAACCAGAGCAACAATAATGTCATTAAAGGAATAGTACACCCAAAACATGATTAGCCGAGGCAGAAAGGTCCATAAAAGTCCACAAAAAACGTGTCAGTATTCCTCCATACTGCTCGTCCAATGTATTCCAAGTGTCCTGAGTGGGTAGCATCCAGAATTTACTCGAAACGAAGTCATTTAGAATGTTTTTAGAGCATAAACAGTAGTGTATAGGATTTCCTAAAAGCGCGTTCACGAGTCTACGGAAACCGCGGCAGACCAAACCAGACGAAAGTGCGCATTCAGCTCGGCAAAGAACTCATGCTCTTCCTCAACACTGAAGTCCTCAGACATTTTTCTTTCGTTGTTTCTTTCTTTGCACAGGTAAACAGCACATTTCTTCTTCTACGCTTGCATTATCGGCAGAGCAGACGCTGAATGCGCACTTTCATCTGGTTTGGTCTGCCGGCTTCCGTAGCGTCGTGAACGCACAGGCGCGCGCTTTCAGGAAATCCTATACACTACTGTTTATGCTCTAAAAACATTCTAAATGACTTCGTTTCGAGTAAATTCTGGATGCTACCCACTCAGGACACTTGGAATACATTGGTCGAGCAGTATGGAGGAATATTGACACGTTTTTTGTGGACTTTTATGGACCTTTCTGCCTCGGGCGCTATGGACCTCCATTATTTGAATGTCAGCAGACAGCAAGAAGCCTCCCAGATCTCCAGATGCATTTGAGATATCAAAAAAAGTACTCCAGAGTGTTGTTCAGCATGGGGGTGAGTAGAAAATGAAGGCTAATCATGTTTTGGGTGTACTATTCCTTTAAGTACCTTCAACGCAGCTGTTTGGTCATTCATCTCTTTCTAAAACCTAATTGGAAGGATAATTTGATATTGCAAGATTAAAAACTCATTCACATGGTCTTTCTTAAGAAACCCCAGTGTTTTTTTGTTTTTGATTTTTTATATATTTGCTTATAATTTGTTAAAATTACTGGATCATTGCTTCTAATCAGGATTTCTCCCTTTTAGGAGCAGGAGGACAAGTAAGAAATGATCTGTCTACCTTTGCTTTGAAGACATCTGACTTGTCACTGTGTCTGCGATGGCAGACATCCAATAATCTGAGAAGAGAGAAAGAAAACGTATCAGGGAGCGAAAGATGTCATCAAAAAGGGAACAGATTCTGAAACAGAAGACCTGTCCCTACCTCACATCCTCTCTGGACAGTACGTCCAGCAGCTTGGCCATGTCTCCTGGCCATTCTCCCAGCTGCACAGAGAACTTACTGACCCGCTCGTCCAACACCAAAGCTCGGTCCACACACTGCCTCAGCAGGTCTGGCTCCATGTTAGCACTGCTCACCAAAACAACCACCCTGATCCAGAGAGAGGAAGGTTACTATGAGCTGTATCCAAAAGAATTACTGCTGCCAACAATGTTAAAACACCAGAGTGTCATGTTGGTCAAACTTCAATTAGGCTTCTGTTCTCAAAAAGACTTTTACCCAAACTGATAAATAGAGCATAAGCCAACTGCTGAACTGTTTCTTCTCTGACAGTTTTTTCCCCCCAACAATGTAAAAATATCCGACCCACTTTTTCCCTCTCAGTTCTGGTAGTTGCCCTGCCAATATGGCAGCCAGTCCCATGGCTCCCACAGTGTCCACTGTGGAGTGCTCTACCTCCTGAAATCGCAGCATGGCCACCAGAGAGTCTTCTTCACTGAGAACACAAACATCAGACTCATGTGAAGCTCAAATATACAGTAAGTTAGCCAGGTGAGGTCTTAAAAATCTCAACGGCGACAATATCCTTTATTAAGATATTTTGGGAATTACACTTTTTTGAGTTAATGTCTTAAGGAGTAAAAATCTTGCCTGTACCTGACAGGTATAATCTTGTCAATCAGTTTCTTGGCCAACTGGAAGGTATTTTCCCCAAGCGAGCGCTCAGTAAAATCTAGGAAAAACAAGATTATAGTGTAAAAGAAAGCATTTATGTTCTTGATTTGTCCTACAGTGATAGGAAAAGAGGATTAATAACTCAAGGTGACAAAAAGGGTAGTTTGATGAGTTTTGCATTAAGGTATCACTAAAAGATTAGAAGTAACAATTATTTGTTGCCATCTGTCAAACTGGGCAGGAATAAAACGCCATCTCCTAGTGATCTGAAATTAATCCTTTTATAAGAGCGACAAGTCTGAATGAAGACACTAGGACAAAAGTACATATCCAAGACCAAGGTACAGGGATCATGTACCTCTTAGTCCAACAACTGTTTAACACAGAGGCGGAGGGCTGATGATGAGGGCTGATTTTGCCGCCGCAGGTTCAAGACACCTTTGATTTAACCATTTACTCTTTGTACACTGAATTGCTCATGAGTCACACGTTGACTGGCACTTGGCCTAGTGTGTTTTATCAATAGGATGATGATCTCATACATAGCAGCATATCTACAACAAAATAGCTCAAGAAGAAAGGAATAAAGGTATTGTATTGGATCAAGGTTCAGACTATTTCGCTCCAGGGTTTAGACTGATGAAATTTGGAGAACGTCTGCTGATAGCGTTTGCGTCTAAAGTAGGCTCCTTAAAGGTATAATGAAGGATGGTCTTTTTCTGGGTGGATCATCAAAATAAGTAATCCTCCTAATTGTCATTCATTCTGGTGATATGTTTACGTAAGGCCGTCCTACGAGCTCATCCCCATTTTCACTTACCGGTGGTGAATCTGACAGTGGAAAATTTGCAAATCTTCTTTTGGAAAGTAAGCCTGTATGAGTGATGCAAACAGCAACTTTCTAACAGATTGTGCATCAGGAGAAATGGGCTGGTGTATGCTCTTGCATGCATTTAATAGGCGTTCCCTCTCAGGAGCGGGTACAAAGTTGTGCATTTTTTTTTTAAGTTTCAAAAATGCGCACAAATCCTACACTATGCCTTTAAACAGTGAATTTTTGGAATGTAAATGATATAATTTCTAATAGCATTAATGAACATAGAATATCCGTTTTTTTCCATAGCTGTGACTCAACACATCCAACAAACCATGAATGCGTCACAGTCCAGGTTTTCATTAAAGCACACAGAGATAAAGGGACCTTACCTCCATACAGTTTCGTATTGGGGTTGCCGTGCATGTTTTTGATTGGGGCGTCTGTTTTCAGGGATTGCAGCAGTAGAGGGAAGCCTTCTGTTTCAATTCCCTGTTGAAGAAAACTCACCAGTCAGACTGGAATTATCCATTGTGTATGAGTACAAGGTGATATCATACAGGTAGAAGGCAGACTGTGGAAAGGAGAACCTTAATCCCATTAAGGCTTCCATTTACATATTGTATGCTAATAATGTCTTTCGGGTTTTACTTTCTAAAAAGGTTTTCGTTCAGGTAAACCCTTAAAAAATGGAAAGTAAACCAAAATGGAGATATGTGAATGAGTGGCAGTGCATTAATGCAAAAATAGGAACAAAGAGTAGTAATAACTGAGTTTTTATTTATACTTACTATAACAATAGTCTGAGGGTTGAGGTGTTTGATGGCTGCAGCGGTGCTGGCTAGAAGTCCATACTGTCCTGCTGCAGGAAGAATCACTGCTTCCACTTTGGGAACCTGCTCAAAGATCTCCATCCCCACAGTTCCTAGTCCTGCTAGATAAGCTGCATTTTCATCCCTGGAAATAAATAGATAAAAACTATTTTCTGTTGCAAAACTGAATCAGAATTATAACATCTAGAGATTGATTGGCAATTTTGATATGAACATGTTGAGTCTCACTCTTCCAGATAAAGATATCCGTTCTCTTTGGCCAGATGTCTGGCGTGGTTTTGGGAGTCATGGTTGGTGCCGCCATACGAGATGACCATCGCTCCGTAGTCCCTGTAGGTCCGCAGACGTGGAGAAGAGCAGCTTGACGGCATGATGGCGAACACTGGAATCTTCAGCTCCACTGCATGGTGAGCCACGGCCATGGAAAAGCTACAGTCAGTGGCCACGATCACACCCTTCCTCTGCTGCTCCTGGAGGGAGACCAACATACTCTCTTTTATCATCACTGTCACTAACAGACGTACAGGCCAGCTGCAGATCACAGCTGCACCAAGACCAACCGAATAGGGTCTTGCCATCTGCCTAAGCCTCCATGGGGTTAGTGTCTACCTGTGTGAGGGAGGTGAGCAGGTACAGCACTCCTCTCTCCTTCACGGAGCCCGTGTAGTGCAGATGCTCCTTCTTCAGGAAGATCTCCATCCCATACTGTTTGGAAAGCCTGGAATACTATACAAAAAATACATCTGTTAATTTAGTGTATTGACGTTGATTACATAGCACTTAAAAGGTTCAATTTCAAATTTCTTTATCTATCCAAAAAGGAAATTAGATTCAGTCTAAACAGTTTTTTTTTGGTTAGGGGATAAGAACACAGCAGCTTGTAGACTCAAATTAAGAAGATACATCTTTCGGTTGTTGTTCTTGTAATTCATTCACTTCATCGTAGAAGATGGCTACACTGCACTATTTTGTACTATTATTTCCTAGATATTATTTCCCCACCATGGCCCACATGTGGCTCATACCGTGCAAGGTGTTTTCTGTATCACCGACTGGATCCTGAAGGCTGCTGCATTGATGTCCTCAAAGCGTAGATACTGAGCTGGAGGTCTGGGAACGGTCCTGAACTCACTCATTCTTCTGGTTTTCGGGGGATCCATCAGCTTTATTTCAGGAGCTGCAACCACTTTGGTTTCGTAGAACCTAACGTCTCCATTGAGAAGTTCCTCCTCGCCAAAGTCTTTGAGACGCTCTGGTTCGATGAGAGTAGATCGGCGGCCCACGGTGCCGTTACAGACGGGTTTGTAAGACGTGCCAGGCTGACTGGGACCCAGACGTAATTCTTCTCTAAAATAATAAAAACAAAAACATAGGGTAGGGTATAACGTTCATGTCTAACTGTCCTTACCAGAATAATCAGTGATATCTGTTGTTGTCACTAAATCAATGAAAACTTAAGGTAAACAAACTCATTAGAAGCTGAGATCTGTAGACTAAATCCCTAAAAGAGGCATTGAAATGTGTGGGGGGAGAAATCTTTGACCGTTCCATTTTGCACAATCTCTCGGTTCCTCTCACCCCTTCAGTTCACCATTTTTTTGTTTTCCATTGGATAAAGTTCAGAGGACTGAGAAGGCCCTGAGAGAAGGTGGATTCTAACCAATGTGCTTTCATTTGGCTTTAGGTATTGACCTTATATTGATGAAAGACCCAAGGATGAAGATGCTATCAGAACTGACTTAATTGTACTATGCCTTAAAACTAGGTTCCCGGGCTGTGCATTCTAGTGTAGGTCTCAGCAGATTTCATCAAACTGTAGATGTTTTTGCCTGTGATTGTAGGTCAGCAATCACCTTTTCCTGCTTAGATTGTCCCAATGGCTCCAGTGGGGACCTACGTAAAGGTGCCACTCTATGACACAGTTCTCCAGCAGGGAGTCTTGGTGATTTTGTTTCTTGTCACTAAATAAATGTCGATAAGAGAACTTGGATCCTCCTCTAGTCTTTTTTGTCACAGTTCCACTTTTTGTCAAACGTTGTTGTTCTGTCTAATTACAGTAGAAGTCACCATTAACTGACCTATGAATTGCAGAACTTATCTCTCCTTTAACTACATGTTCTCTTTTTCTTTCCTGTTTTGGGAATTCGCTTCATCATTTTACAACCCAGATAAAAAAAAAACAATAATTAATTATAATTAATTAATAGTGAAAGATCCTCATGATGGAAATCGGAAAAAGAATCATCATAAATTTCATCTGCACACTGCAAAAACGATCTAGAAATAAGTAAAATGTTCTCAAATTAAGTGTTTTTATTACCCTTGATTTGAGTATGTAAATGCGATAATTTGCCAATGGGATGAGTATTTTTACTCTTAAAATAAGATAATTAGATAATATGCACTTGAAATAAGACAATGCAATTGTGTTTTCTTATTTTAAACCTAAATTGTCTTGTTCCATTGGCAATATGTATCTTTTATCTCCTCAATTCAAGAACAAATGCACTCATTTTAAGAAAAAAGGACTTAGATCTGGATTTGGATTTTTTCCAGTATATTTCTGAGATTTCCAGATTTCGAAGAAAGAGAATCGCCCTTAAGAAGTGAATAGATCCACAATAAAATCCTTCCTAGATGCCATTTTCTAGTCTGGGATGAGCAGCTTTAACCGTGACGGATTACATCGATGAGCCTTCTTATGATTTATTGGTTCGTTTGCTCCTCTATTGCAAGATGCAAATTAAATGGCAATTTAGGACTGAAGGCAGGACAGTTTGATTTATAATAGCTCGGAAAATGGACACAAGATGGGAAAAGGAATCTGAATTGTTTCACTTTGCTCCATAGTCTCATTTCTTGAAGGACATTAAACAAACCGGCTTCAGACTGTTTTTTGGATGCATACTTCTAAATGTAATTCAGAGAGAAGGCTTTCTGCAATGTAAAGGATTACCTACAGTGCATTACATTAATATGCTTTGGCACTAAAACAAATCAAAATGCATTTAGTAGATATATTTTTTTTCCCCCAGTAGACAGCCACCAGGTGGAGCTGCTCTCTTGGACAAATCTCTTGTAAGACCAGCCCTTTGCAGACATCACCTGCTCCATTTCTTTCAGCATGATCTATTATAAGCAGCACATTCACCTTTCACCTGGTCTCACAAATCCATTACCATTCTCCACCCCATTTTATCCATTATTTTTAGATGAAGCAGAATTTCCTTATTATTGTGAAAGGGACTATGGAAAAAGTCCAAATCTGCACCTGTGTTAGAAGATCTTTGATTCAAGGGAGGGATTCAATAAAAAAAGCACCAAAGAAAGGAGAAGAAAAACCCAGTGACCTGAAAGAACTTCATCAAAGAAGTAAACAATGAGATTAAGAGGTGAACAGTAGCTTATTTTAAGACTGAGGATGAAGCAAAACAAGTGAAAGAGGCGATTCAACCAAGCATGCTTTTATCAACATCATCCACTTTTTCTTGTCCTAAATTACCCTTAACAAGCCTTTTTCTGTGAGAGCTAATTTACATTAATAAAGAGGCAGTTTTGGCAGAGCCTGATCTTCCTTGCAGATTTGTAGTTTCCTTGCTGGTTAGATTTAGACTTTCTAAATGCAAAACTTCTTCAAATACCTCTACCTTTGAAGCAAATCATTCAAAATCCCCATGAAGCCAAAGAGAGAGATGGGATTTTGAGGAGTAGGAGGGGATGGAGCGTTGGGATGAAGGGACAACAAGGGGAAGATAAAAATAGAAGAAGAGCTGATTGTTTTTGTTCTGGTTGCACAAGACTTTTGTATTTTAGAGCAGATGTGTGGCTAAAGGGTTGATGTGAGGAGGGCAGGGGTCTGGGTCTCTATATGTTGCTAGTTCCCACCTCTCCCAGAAGGGGTCATTTTCCTCGCTGTCTTTAATCGCAGGTCTTGGTGAGAACAAACGTTCCAGTCGCTCGCTCAGGTAGCTGGTGTAGAATAACTGGGCAGCAAAGTTCATCCTGACTGCAAGCTTCCTGGATGCTGAATCCCTCTCCTGCCCTGACTACTGTGTGTCCGAGGGACAACGGGACACTGACTGCTGTTATTTCCCTGCCTGGGCTCCCACACTCTGTCCCTGCCCCAGAGTTATTTAAGAGCGGATTACCAATGGACACATGGTGGCTGTGGAGCATCTCTACTGTGGCTCTATTCCTGGGCCCGGATTACTTCCCCTTTCTGTGACGCGATGCTAATCAGACTGTCTAAGGAGATAGATGTAGAATTAGGGTTTATCTAGTGACTGGAGAGCTTGAAGCTCCACCACACAGGAGAAAGAAAAACAATGCATGGGATGAGGAGCGAAAGACTTTTGGCTTAAACATGTTAGTCACAAAAACCTTTCTGAAAACCGACAAGCAGGTGCTCCTTTTCCTTGATTTGGTGCAAATGCCTCGAAGGGAAAAACATTGATAAGAAACAGGTCATATCAGTGAGAAGGGATGTCACAAAGGAGGACTTAACCTTAGCAACAAACACATACAGATAATTTGTCTGGTGGATTTTTTTGGGGGGGGGAAATAAGCTGCTACCAACGGATTCAGGACTGAATAAAATAGATAAAAAAGGTGAAACTGGCTCCAGCAGTCAGTCTGGGTCCTGTTCCCTCTAATCAGGTGTCCAATTTGAATTTAGCTGCAATCAGAGATGCCAAGAATTCCTGAAAAGAAGCTCCTTGAGGTAATGTGAGTTTAGGATATGTGAGTGGAAAGAACTCATTCCAGGGAACAAAAACTGTATCTTAGGCAGTGTTCTCTTGGCTCAACAGAACTCATGTGAAATATTCAACTTAGTTAAGTACTGATGGCTTTACTTTCTATGATTGTCAGTCTTCATACCCTTAACAGATGGGTAATCATCATCATAATCCTTTCTAGCATTTAAAATATCTTTAGATTGTTCCTTTCCTATCACTGTTTTGCTCAACTTCTAATTGGACATAGTACAGCAGAGGATTGAAAAAGCTGGACTAGACAGGCTAAATAGGCATTTTTTTTTAACAACGAGACCCAGAACATCCATTCTTTGAACTTTTATTTACTACTTTTGTGTCTATTTAGTAGTCTGAAACAAGGCCATTAGCTCAGTAGTTGCTGAGTGGAAACTCCTCCCACTGCAGCAGTGGCAGCTGAGGTATTGCTCAAGAGCTGAGCGTGGGACAAAGAGGCTTTCATTACAGGATTAAAAGCCGTGCAGTTTAGCAACAAAAATTGAACTCATGCTCCTATCACAGCGACTACACTTGATAACATATCTAGAGTTGCCATAAATTACTTGGAAAGATCTAACTGTATGAGACTTTTAAAGATTTTCTTGCATGTGAGGTGAGAAACATAGAGAGAAATAGCTTAAGTCTGTATGAAACTTAATATTATAACAATGGATTTTTGACTATAATGAATGGTTAACACAATGTATTGCCTGGTCAGAGAAAGCCTGCAACGTTCTGGATGACTGACACCTTTAAGCACTGACCTGCTTTAAGGAGTATTAAAACCACAGCTTTTGACATCATTCTGTTTGGCAGAGACTGGGAAATATTTCTATTTTCACAATAAACTATTCTCCTTTAGTTTCATCTCCACACCTTTACATAGAAACATGTCTTAAAGAATATTTGATCTATTTAAACAGCGCATGTTTTCGAAGCCTAAGACAGATATATCAAAATGACCAAGCAAATACTCTAACTAGTGATTTCCACTGTGGTTGAGCTATGAAACATAAAAAGCAGTGACCTTTGATATATGAATGGTTGTATATGTGGCCACCAGAGGGGTTTCTCAGTCCATCTCATGCATTTTAAACAGTGTTTGTTTGAGGCTCAGAAATCTGATAAGATAAGTAAATAACTATAACAGCTATGCAAGCACAATGAAATAAAGGACGTCAAATAATTCAATGGTAATAAATGGTGATTAAGAACACATGTAAACCTCATTAAGTTAAATTAGGTAACCAATATCCTAATACTTCATGCTTCTATAGACATTGTTTCTCTCTAAAATATTATTCAATTATTTGATTAAATATGTCAGTTTTTTCTCACACCAAAAACTTCTTCATAAAGTGAAAAGAAGAAGGCAATTATTTCCATTAGTTAAGGTCTGCTACTCTATTTTTCCATTTAGTTTCCCCCGTCGTTGAGTAAAGACAGAATCCCTTTAATAAAACGTTAATAACGATCTTTGATAGGACTGAAGGAATCTGTGTTCAACTTATGAGGATCTTGTACTGACTAGCAGGCATTGTGCGCCTTCAGCCCTCGTTAGCAAATCAAAACAACTAAAGCTCTGAGCGATGATGCAACCAACCCCAGGAGCATCCAGGTAAATCCAAAGACAAAGAATTCAGACACAGGGATCATCTCAATCAACGCTGGCTGTAATACGGACACAACATAGAGCATTACAGAGCTTACCTGGAAAGCTTTGTGGTCTAATTGCTCATTTTAATCATTATGATCAAATCTAACAAATATATAATATTACAAAACCTCTTTATTTATCAAGCTGCTGTGTTTACTCTTGTATCGTTACAGTGGAGGGGGTCAGAGTTTTCACTAATCCACTGGGTAAATAGTAATGACCCTGATGAATAATAATTTACTACCTTCCTTCCTTTGTCTCTTTAGTCAAGCTGCTGATAGGCTCCGTAAGTACAGAAAAGCCACAATAGGATTAGAAGAGGACAAAGTCAAGGAAAATCAAGGGTCATGAACTGACTTCACATGCCCTACCGCACATTCAGATTAGATTCAAGATCCCAGAAATGATATGAGGGCAGTGCTCTGATTGGCTTTATGTTGAATAAAGCAAAGAGATACCTGAAGAGCAGGAGGAGGAGAGGCCAAAAATAGACAGTGAAAAGGTGAACGCTGCCTCTAGGAATCTGTCACAAAACGGATCAGCGTGGAACCTGCCAAGGATGGGGTGATCCTCTTGTTCTAGGCTCTCTGGGGACCTTTTGTTCTTTAAAATATGTCTGCTGATCAGTAGGTCAACACACTCTAGATGACTGAAGGATCAGAGAGGCAAACAAGAATCTGCACCTCACTAAAATATCCTCGGTCAGTTCACATTGACCATGAAGATGTTTTTTTTATTGATAAGTTAAAACTGTTTCCTTTAAGCCGTTTATTTCCCACCTAATAATATAAACAACCATTTCTGAGAACTGCCCAGCTATTTAACTAATTTAGAGCCACAAACATTATGTCACCTCTTTTAAAAAAACAAAGAAAAAAGAACTCCTTTTTATTAGATATCTACAACTGGAGATTTGTCCCTTTTTAATAACCACTTTGCCATTTGATATTTGTTTCCTTCATATTTAATGAAGGAAATAGAAAAGCAAGAAGAGAATAAATACATTTTTTAGGTTGCTGACATATTCTTTGGGGAAAATTAATTTAAAAACCAACATTTGTTCCCGTTTAAAAGGACAAAAAATATATGTTTGTTATAATTAGAGTTTATTTTGGGAATGGAAAGAAAAAAAATTATTTAAGTCCTGTTAATAAAAACTAATTTAGAGCCACAAACAAAATGACTTTTTATTAAAAAAAAAAAAAAAAGGAGAAAGAAAAAGGGAGGAAGAAAATATATATACATTAAATATCTACAGCAGTTTGCTGATATTTTTTAGTTATGTTAAAAAATATACGACTTAAAAAAGGACAACAGATTTATATTTTTTACAGTTTATTTTGTATATAAAAAAACTTCAGTCCTTCTAATAGAGCTAGTTTAGAGTCGCAAACATCACATAAACTTTAAGAAAAGAGAGAAGAATAAAAGTTTGCAGGTTTGTATTATTCTCAGAAAATTATCTTAATAAATTCCCATTAAAAAGCGTATTACAAACATCTATAGAGTTAATTTTTATTTTTGGAAATTCAGTGCAATTGGTCAGTGGAGAAAATGCTATAACATGCATTTGTTAGTATGTCTATTGTTCAAAAAGAAAGCTTGCTCTTCGTCGTTTTTAGCCAAAGTGATGAAGAGCTTCTAAAGTGATGAAGAGCTTCTAAAGAGATGTTTGTGGCTTCAGAGTCTATACTTGCACTTGTAGGGTCCCTATATAATTTTAAAAATGAAAAATTTAAATATGAAAAATTTAAATATGAAAAAAAGATGAATAAGGGAATCAGACAAGTTCAAGAAAAATATTTCTAATGAATCCATTTTCCTCTGCCTGTAAGAAATATGTCAAATTACACGTGTTTAAGAGACGATTTAAACTTCCTTATTTAAAAATAGTTTTTATTGTCTTTATTACCATCTCATAGTTTTGAATTTAGGAACCTGCTAATGGTTCAACACTGTTATGGTTCTCCCCTTTTGGAGTTCTGTTTGAGTTTCTTTTTAAGTTTTAGTTCCACTTTGATTTATGTTACTCTGTTTTTTCTTGTTTATTAGTTTCTTTTCCGTTTTGTGTTATATTTATGCAGTTTTGTATTTCTTGACCTACTCTCTGTTGCTGCTTGTGCTTCTTTCCTTTACCCTTGGCTCCCTTCTAGTTACTTCCTTCCACACCTGCTCCATATCAGCTCATTAGCCCATCCTTTGTTCTGTTCCCCATATATACACCACATCTGCAGGTTCCTCATTGCTAGTTTCTTGTTGATTTGTTGCTTCGTCGTTTCTTTGCTCCCCCGTATGTTTGCCCTGACGTCTTTTCTGACTTTAATTCTAAGATTTTTTTACTTTAATTCTGTTGCCTTTGGAATTTGGATTGAAACAGCAAGATTTCTGTCTACTCATCTCTGCATTTGGGTCCACTAAACCCTGAGAGACAATATCGAAAATTATGATTCTACCCTGCCTATAGAATCATAAAATCCTGTCACTACATGCTGAAAAAAAACTCAAACTACAGCATATTTGCCTATAGTTAAATGTTAGGAACAAGCACTGTAAAAAAAGACGAAACCTTTTAAGTACGACCTAACAAATACACCTCTTATCGAACAAAACCTGTTGAATTTAAATGGTTTTTTTTATTATTATATCCAAAGTCCAGTGACGATACTTTGAAAGAAGCTGGAAGAAATTGTTTTTTGAAATTAAAATTGATTTCCTGTCTGATTAAGATTTAAAATAATAGGCATCTCTAAAAATAT